GTACATTCTTTAATCATCTATTAATTGTTTTGACTATTAACAGACAGATATAAGTTTTTTATATTAAAATTTGGTTTGTTTAATCCAAACCATCTCTGAGTAACAGAGTCAAATGAGAAAAGTGTTGCAACTGTCCCCAGTCTCCCCTACTTGTATAGTACCTTTCTATCTATCCAGGACACTCAAAGCTCTTCACACTACAATCTGTGTCCTCATTTATCCATTCACACAGCACTCTGTTAGGTCTCTACAAAGCTAACATGCACAATCAGCTATGGAGACTAATCAGTGCCAATACTAAGCCCCATACTAAGTTTTAATAATAATAAGTACTCAACATTGCTAATGTAGCTGTGTGCCTTCAAAAGGACTTCTTCAAAATGGTATCTTTCAGCACACATTGGCCAATGCCTTGAGATCTGCACAGCACGTAATGTGTCATTATGTTCTGCTCTGACAGCAGCAGCTTCACACACCATTACTCCTCAGTTTAACRCACCGCTGCCTTCCAAACCTGACTTACAGTCCATAAAATTCCTAGTTTTTCTGCATTTAGACATAATTTTTGATCATGCAGATGAGAATCACACATGTAGGATGTATTAATATTAAATGCATGTTTGGCACGTAGGGCTACTTGAAATAGTCTAAAATTTGATAGTAGTAGCCTACTGATGGTCTTATCTAAAGATAAAACTAATTTGAAAATATTCACATAGCCCATATTTTTTAAATTTATTCTTGGTCAAAACATGTTTTTTCCTCAGATAGTTTTTCCTGTGTGTTGAATGATAATCAGTTTATGCAGAAACACAGTTGTTCAACCTGTATCTCTTTTTCTTCTTCACAGTTACAGTTGAACTTTTGTTTGTGGTTTAAATTTTTTTTCTTTGGTGTGGTTCTACTGTCAAACAATCATCAGGGCAATTCAGACATGAATTCCATCCATCCATCCACCCACCCACCCATCCATCATCCATCCATCCATCCATCCATCCATCCATCCATCCATCCATCCATCCATCCATCCATCC